GATTTGCTCTCAGCTGTTTTGCGCAGGGCTCTGTGGTTGCTAGCTGCAGAGTGCTGGAGCAGATATTTTTTCCCCTAGCTATGCTGAAAAAACAAAACTGAAAGTAAAGCAGGGTCTTTGCTGCAACGTGACAAAGTGAGGCAGAGAAAGATTTCTTTTTTTTTTTCCTCACCAAAAAAGGTAGGTGCAAACAATGGGAAATTTAGGGCAAAAGAGGAGAGTTCAAGATTTTAAAACACAAAAGAAAAAAAGCTCTATTTAACTAGGGAATTGTAATAATTGAGATACTATTAATTGTATATTGTGTTGAAAGCAGAAATGGTTAAGTTGCGGTTTGGAGGAATATATGGGGAAAATTATTTGGTTTATTATTATTGGTAAATATAATTAATTGATTTGTAAGAAATTGGATTGCATGGAAATAATTGGAATATTCATGTTCATATTGATTAATATACAAAAAAGATAGTTATATAACTAATTGATTTATATTAAAATGTTGAATTTGTATTAAACAACTGTATTACATAATTACATAATTAACCAATGTGAGGATGGATATAAAAATAGATGACAATGGGAAGGGGTATAATATAGAATAGAAGGGAAAAATTGAATTTGATTAAGATTAGAGATGAGGATGAAGGGTAATATTGGTTTTTTACAAAAATAGATGAGGAATAAATATGGCAAAAAGGAAATATAGAAATTGTAAATTTAATTGAAATGACTAAACACTGTTTAAATTTGTGAACTGGCCAAATACTCTGTTCAAAGAAAATACATTGTATGTTTGTATGTGTTGTAAGGTCCCAAAATATACTTGAGTCACCAGAATGCCAAAGAGAGAGACTCAAGACGAGGCTTGCAAAAAAGCAGATTTTATTTATGGCCAAAAACAAAATACTGGGTGGAACTATATCCAGAACATACAGATACAATGCATGCGAGGAGATAGCCACACCTTGAGGAAGGTATGGCATCCTTTTATACCCTCAGAGACGTCAGCTTAGTACCCAATTCTGGCCTCCTAATTTAGGTTTGTGTATTCCTTGTTGCCCTGCAAGGGGGAATAGAAACTTCCCCAATTAGTATTATCTTAAGCATTTCTTTATTTATTCAATTGGCCACTTAGCCTCCTGGCTCTGGAAGATAGGAGTTTATCCAGATCAAACATAAATTAGGCTGAGGTGTAAATTATCCCTTTGTTGATGGCTGTAGTTTCAACTGAGATATGTACCATGCTTTTAGATAGCAAAGAAAGAAAATTGATATGAGTTCAGGTCAAATGGCAGGGACATACATTTGACAAATACCAGATACATTACAGAGGCCTAATAATAGAATATGTTTGTTACAGGAGATACAAATATAAAGGCATAATATATGTGATACAAATACAAAGGCATATATGTATTACAGGAACCTAATGGTTACAGAATCTAGTATACCAGTATATCATATTCTAGTATTATTTATTATATCCTTATTATTGTTTCCCTTCAGTGTGTTTCTAATTATTGCTATTTATTCATATTTGTTCTCTTTTATTCTTTAAAGTTTAACAATTCATTCTTTATCTTAATATCTTTATATTTGTTTGGGGTTGGCTTTCTTCCCTTTCATCTTTTTTATTGTACAGCAATCTTTCTCTTCAAACCTACCACCTCTCTCTTTTCTTTCCTTCTTACTTTCTATTCCCCCCCTCTTCTTCTCCTCCCTACTTCCTCTTCCTTTCTCCTTCTCCTCCTCTCTTCCTCCCTCTCTTACCCTCACTCCTATTCTAATTTCTCTTCCCTTCCTTCATCCCTCTCTATTGCTGTATCCTTTTATGCATATGGACTACTCAGAGGGCTGAAAAAGTTATTTTTGACTGGTCCTCGCACTTTTGACCAGTCCTCGAACTTACGACTGTCCTCACATTTTACATTTTTGCCCTATCTTGTCACCATGGTGAAGAGAAGCAGTTGTGAAATGAGTGACACGGTTGTTAAGAATGCTGCACAGCCATAAATGTGAGGATGGTCATAAATGCGAGGACCAGTCAAAGTGCGAGGACCTTTCAGAAATGGCTTTTTTCAGTCCTCTGGGTAGTCCTTTTGTGCATATGGACTACTCAGAGGGCTGAAAAAGTTATTTTTGACTGGTCCTTGCACTTTTGACCAGTCCTCGAATTTACGACTGTCCTCACATTTTACGTTTTTGCCCTATCTTATCACCATGGTGAAGAGAAACAGTTGTGAAATGAGTGACATGGTTGTTAAGAATGCTGCACGGGCATAAATGTGAGGATGGTCATAAGTGTGAGGACCAGTCAAAAGTGCAAGGACCTGTCAGAAATGACTTTTTTCAGCCCACTGAGTAGTCCCTATACACATAGCCATGATCACTCGGTCACATGACCAGCTAGCCACGCTAACCCAGTCACATGACCTCCAAGCCACGCCCACAAAATAAGCCACGCCCACAGAACCGGTAGTAAAAAAATTTAGAACCCACCCCTGGCCCAGAAGGCCTGAAAATCAGCTGGCCTGCGCACAGATGTGCGCCGGAGCTGAGCTCATGTGCCCACCGATATGGTTATTTTCTGGTTGGGTCTTATTTTGGGGGGAACACGGTCTATAACCCAGCCTTCTGTTACCCCACATCAGAAGAAAAGATGAGAGAAGCAAGTAGGAAGTTCTGTTCATCACCAGCACTGAAAATGTTACCTAGTTTGGATAATGAAACACCTGTAAGAAAACAAGCAAGCTCAGAGAGCACCAAATTCTGTTCCCAGTTCTGTTCATGAACATTTTAGGCATACACAATTCAGGGCAGGGTGGGTGAGGATATCTCACAAAACCTTCTATTCAAGAGGAAATAATAGCTTTTGTTCACTTTTTATTTGGCGATAGAATGAAATTTGCAAGCACCAATATCAGAGAAATTACTATAATAATTTTGTACCTAGGTTCATTCGAATTTCTTCAAATGGATTTTCGTTTGTTTGAGAAGAGAATTAACTGACATATGTAGGAAGATACATGTTTTCTTGAAGATCAAGACTGTTCCATTTCAGATTAGTAGACAAAGGAAGGCACTGGATCTTAGCAGACTGGAATGGGGAATATTGCTGATCTCTCTGTTGTAGGTGTAGAGATTTTGGAGCTATGGTGCCTTGAACAATTCTTTATTGTTAAACAAAAACCAGGAAGTATCTCTCTCTTTTTTTTTTTTGACCTAGGATTAGATTTTGTTGCAAAACAAAGAATGATGTAAAACACAATATCCCTCTTCCAAAGCACTATGAGAATTAATGATGAATCAAGTCTTGTGTTAGGAAACAGACATCTGATTCATACAATTCCTTTCTTTCCAGGCTGTCACTTTATAGATAAACAAAAGCTTTAATAGGTTTGAGTTTCTTGCTTGCTTTTGTGTGTGGGAAGTGAGGTGGAATAATGTAGGGCTGTTAGGTTATGTTTGATATCCTGGGCTTGTTTTTCCATAATGCTCTCCAATTTTGTTGTTGTTGTTAGTTGCGAAGTCGTATCCGACCCATTGCGACCCCATGGACAACGTTCCTCCAGGCCTTCCTGTCCTCTACAATCCTCTGGAGTCCACTTAAGCTCACACCTACTGCTCAAGTGACTCCATTCAGCCTCCTCATTCTTTGCCGTCCCGTTCTTCTTTTGCCCTCAATCTTTCCCAGCATTAGGCTCTTCTCCAGTGAGTCCTTCCTTCTCATTAGGTGGCCAAAGTATTTGAGTTTCATCTTCAGGATCTGGCCTTCTAAAGAGCAGTCAGGGTTGAACTCTCTAGGACTGACCAGTTTGATCGCCTTGCAGTCCAAGGGACTTGCAGGAGTCTTCTCCAGCACCATAGTTCAAAGGCCTCGATTCTTTTTATGATGGTCCAATTTGGCTTTGGTCACTTTAAGGGGCATTTTATTTTTCAGCCACAAAAACTGACCGAAAGCAACTCCATTTCCCTTAAAACTGAACTGATGGATCTATCAAAAGATTGCATTTCAGGCTTGCTAGACACAGAATTTCGAGGGATTAATGTAAGTATATACAAAGAGCTGCCCGTAATCTGAAGCAAATGAAACTAGGTAGCTGATAAGAAATGGTTTTCTTGGCAGTTTGACTCCTAGTGACAGCATGGACACATTCATGCAGTTTTCTTGGCAATGTAATTTGTTACTGCCTTTTTTTAAAAAGTTTTTATAGTCTGGTTTTATAGATTTTTATCTGGAGGAATCCCATCCAAACATTAGCCAGGTATGACTCTGCTTAGCTTCTGGGCTCCAGTAAGTTCAACTACATGTTGCCACCTGTTAAAGGTAACAACTTGGCTTAACACCATATCTGAACTATGTGGGAAAGCATCCTCCCTAGAAGATTAAAAGGCTTCTCTTTATTTATTCATTTTTATTTGTAACCCACTTTTACAAATATGGCAGTGAATATATCCAACATACCTTCTTCCTCCTGTTTTCCTCACTGTGAGGTGAGTCGGGCTGAGAGAGAGGGACTTACTCAGAATCACCCAGCTGGCTTTCATGGATAAGGTAGGGCTAGAACTCACAGCCTCCTGGTTTCTAGCCTGATGCATTAACCACTAGGCCAAACTGGTTCTCTTGCATGCTAGGATAAATCATCCTTATGGTGGGGATCAGTGCCACCAGGTTAAGAAAAGGCATTAAGTTCACAAGAAAGATACAGAAGAAATGGAAGACTAATCAAATGACCAAACACCAAGAATGCCCCCAGCAAAGGCAATCTGAAGATCTTCTAGAAAGGGCTACAGTTACAGTGTTCTGAACTAGGTCACGTAGTCAAATCCAGGCATCAATAAAATCTTTTATTGCATCACAAAACCAGAGGTGTCGATAAACCTCCACTCCACTTTTCCCCACAAAACAACCACTCACAGTCAATGTAACCCAGTCCAACCAGCTGGGTCCACTAGTCAACAGAAGCAAGCCCCCAAACAGGAAGAAAATCTAAGTCAACAAACCAGGTGCAGAGTTTGCCAAACAAGGTCCATAAGCCACAATCCGGAGTCAGAGTCCACAAAGCAAGGTATGTAAATCCGAAGGCTGAAACACAAGTTGAAATCCACAAGTCAAGGTTTCCAGAAATCAGGGGAGAGCGTGCTAAGACAAACGGTTGTTCCTGATGAACGCCACCTCCTCCTCCGGCCTCTGGTTAAATCACCCCGAGCCATGTGTTCCTTGTAGGGGGGGGAAGCCTCCTCACAAGCAGCCTTGCCGACCTCCTCTGAGTTTCCTTCCGCTCCACTCTCCGCACTTGCGGATTGGGTGGAGAAGGCAGCTATTCCTTGTCAGAGGGGTTCTGTTGTCTCTCGTCACCTCTGCCCGTTTGCAGCCAATCCTCCCCTCTGTGCGTGAAAACAGAGGTGGCTCCCTTACAGGTAGACTGGTTCCCCCCAATGCAAGGGGGGCCTGGGATAGCAGGTCTCAGCCCCTGGACTCTCTGGATGTTCCAGGGGATAAGTGCCATCCCCGTTGGATGGTCCCAGTTCCTACTTCTGCTCCTCCGAACTGGGATCCGATGGGTCCATGACATACAGCATTTAAAATAATTGAACCTTATCTGAATAACTGAACCTGCCCCTTGGCACTTAAAATTTTACTTTACCCAAATCTAGTTGACTCTAGTTTCGGTAGTCAAGAAAAGTAGTTGACTCTAGTTTTGTAGTCAACTGCACTTGAGGGACTTCAGTGAAGCAGCTGCACAGCGCCGAGTTCTCTTGTATAGGGTAGTCTCTGCAGTAATTGTTTGGGCTTTATTTATTTTTTATTCCATCAAGCTGGCCTCGCCTAAATCTTCTTCCTTTTAAGTGTAAATTTTAAATTTTTAATGTATTTTAAAATATGGGTATCTTAAATTATGGGTATTAATTCAGCCAAATTTATTTAATTCATTTTATTCGATTTTAAATTTTGTATATCTATGTGTTTTATTTCATGGCTGTGCACCGCCCTGAGTCCTTCGGGAGTAGGGCGGTATAGAAATTCAATAAAATAAAAATAAATAAATAAATAAATACCTGCCTCAGCCTTACCCTGCCTTCCCAATTCTGTCATCTCCTCATTACAGCTGGATGACAAAATTGACAAACTCATGGAGTTTGGAGTTTGGAGTCCAGCAGAAGTAATTAACTTACAAATGACTATTTACACTTACAGTGACTATTTAAAGTTACCATGGGGTGATTATGATATGGTTCTGAAGTTCTCATAGCTGCCTCACCCTTCGTAGTCACATGACTGCATTTTGGGTGCCACGTTTATGGCCATTTGCAGCAGCCCTCGATCACATGACTGCATTTTATGATGTTTTTGCCAAAAATATGATGTATTTCCAGTTTTCAGCAAAACTGGTCCATAGCAAACAATGGATTTGCTTAACGTCCACAGTGTTCGCTTAACAACTGTGGCGTTTGATTTACAACCAGCATGTCTGCTTAACCATCGCAAAAAAGGTTATACAGTCGGAATGGTCATGTGGGTGACCTGTTTTACAACCATCACAACGTTTGCCTAACGGAATGGGCAGGTTCCATTATGGTCGTAAGTCAAGGACTATGTTGTGGCCCACAGGCAGCCAGCAAAGCTGGCACCAGAGTCAGATAGCGAGGAGGTTGGGGAGGAACATGAGCCAGTCCTGGGAGCTGGGGAAAACTCGGACGAGGGCTCTGCATTGGAGGCAGAGAGGGAGATAGACAGGAGCGAGGCAGAGGAATGGCTGGATCCTGTTCCCAGTGTGCGCATGCTCAGAGCTGCCAGAAGACTAGAACAACTCAGAAAGTAGGGTCGACTTGGGAGTAAAGTCACACCTTGGAGATGATTGCCCCCCCCCCCATAGAAAACAAAAGAGGAGCGAACGGGGAAGGGGCTTTTGCAGGAAACAATTCATTTGTTCGTTCAGTAGTTGCAAGAGTGGAAAGTTCTGTTCGTGACTTCAAGAGACTCTGTGCCAAGTTTTGCATTACTCTGCGTTTGGAAACAAGTTTTCGTGGCAGCTTGCCAAACGAGATAAGGTGTGTTGAGCAATATTCCTTTGAAAAACTATTTGGACAAATCTTGCTGACTGTGAATGAACGTAAATCACAGTCGTGTCAATAAAAGAGGTTTTGCTGGGACCAAATTCCTGCCTCCTGCTTGTTAAAGGGAGGCTAGGTCAGAACAGACTATATGTATCAGGAAATCAAACTGCTTAAGCCCTTTCCTTTTTAAATTGTGAGGCATCAGACATCCAGATATAGCTTTAATGTGAAGGAAGGGACTTGAATCTGGGAGGATTGCCATATTGCCTTTAAAGCTTTAGGAGCATAAACTAATTTGAAAAAGCTTCAATGAAACATGCCTCCTCTTTTCTTTTTTTTCCCTTAGGTTCAGTTGAAGGACTGTGAAGAAAAGAAAGTACAGTAATGGAAAATGTTTTAGGCCGTGACAAAAAAGATAACTCAGTTAGGAATTGCATCAAGGGTATAAATATGAGCAGACATTCTCTCTCTTTCAATCAACTGGGAGAAAGTGTCACCTAATGGTATTGCGTGCCAAAACATACACCCTGTAAAACAATCTTGTTTACACAATAAATGCCTAAGTAATGGAGCTCGCTGCAAGAAGATGTGGCCTTGGCTACTAGCCCAGAGCCTTATTCATCTAACACTTGTGTCCCGCTCTGATGGCAGACACGAATTGTGCTTTTCTCCGCATTCTTGGTATCTCTTCTTCAGTTCTGACTTCTGTGCATGAAGCATGGACGTTTATAAGGAAATTCAAACGGGCTGGCAGATGTTCTTCTGCAGGGGTTCTCCTGCATTGAAATACTTGCTTCTGGGGGGCAGTAAACCAGCCCTCTCCCCAACTGTGAGCAGCTGCTTACATGTGGGGTTTCCTTGCTGATCACTGCACTCAATATCCAGATATTTGACACTGAGGAGCAATCACTGTGGGTGGAGCTAATTTTTCTTAACAGCAGGAAACAGGGTTTTTTTTAATGCAACTTAACTCCCACAACACATGCACGCGGGCGTATACACACACACACACACAGAGAGAGAGAGAGAGAGAGAGAGAGAGAGAGAGAGAGAAACTTGAGGGCTCTTCTGGAGGCTGTTTAAACACACAGTGGTTGCTAGAGGATTAAATACTGGATGACCCAAAATTCATTTTGGTAAGCATGTATTTGAAGTTGTTCTATGTTTAATTAACGATTGCTGTGGAAACAAACAACATTAATGCTATTGTATATTGTTTATACAATATAGTGAAACAAAAGTTAAAAAAAGACTTCACGCAACTCCTCTGGTCCCTATTTTTTCTACTTGCATTTTTTACGTACTTTTGAACTGCTACGTTGGCAGAAGGTGGGACAAGTAACGGGAGCTCACCCCGTTATGGGGCACTAGGGATTCAAACCGCTGAACTGCTGACCTTTCAATCGACAAGCTCAGCGTCTTAGCCACTGAGCCAGCCTTTCCCTTCTGAACCTATATACGTAAGGTCAAATATCGTACAATATACAATCATGAATAGGGGCTGAATTCTTACTTATGTAATCAAGAAGCCATTTTAAGATAATGGTTTTAATGGTTTCCTGCCTTCTTTTTTGAATTAGCAGATTCATTTATCTACTTTCCTGCCTAATCAAATCAACAGGTGTTAAATATGAAATACTCTGCATTATGAGAGCATTTATCAATTTAACCACCCGATTTTTATCCAGCCCTTTTTTCATATACAACTCAAGATGCCAAACACACCCAATCCTCCTCCTGTTTTCCTCACAACATCCACCCTGTGAGGTGGGCTGCGTTGGAAGAGCATTACTAGCCCAAAGTCACCCAGCCAGTTTTTCATGCGTTAGGTAGGATTAGAACTCACACTCTTCTGGTTCCTAGCCTGGTGCCTTGATCATTGGCCAAAATATATAAGTGTTCAGAATAAACTGCCCCATTTGAAGGCTTCCTGCTTTTGAAGATCTTACTCTAAGTTTAGTTTAATGACCAAAAGAAAAAAGGACAGAGCATTCAAATTTGTCCATTGGTATTTAGCAGCTACTGAGCAAGAGTAATCCTTGGTCAAAGAATTCTTCAGTTATGTCTTGTTTGACAATTGCTTGCCTGTGTAAAAATCAGCACATGCAAATCTAATGCAAATTGTTGCCGTTCTTTTGGTTCATTTTTCTTTCTCTTCTATTCCTTTGCATGTGTGGAGAATCAATGGATTATGGAACCGTGTTTTTGAAGGAAACAAAACAATAGAGAAAGCTATACGTGAAGACTCTAGAAAGAGTGCAGAGAAGAGCAACAAAGATGATTAGGGGACTGGAGGCTAAAACATATGAAGAACGGTTGCAGGAACTGGGTATGTCTAGCTTAATGAAAAGAAAGACTAGGGGTGACATGATAGCAGTGTTCCACTATCTCAGGGGCTGCCCCAAAGAAGAGGGAGTCAAACTATTCTCCAAAACACCTGAGGGTAGGACAAGATGCAATGGGTGGAAACTAATCAAGGAGAGAAGCAACTTAGAACTATGAGAAATTTCCTGACAGTTAGAACAATTAATCAGTGGAACAACTTGCCTCCAGAAGTTGTGAATGCTCCAACGCTGGAAGTTTTTAAGAAGATGTTGGATAACCATTTGTCTGAAATGGTGTAGGGTTTCCTGCCTAGGCAGGGGGTTGGACTAGAAGACCTCCAAGGTCCCTTCCAACTCTGTTATTCTATTCTATTCTACTCTACTCTACTTACTCTACTCTACTCTACTCTACTCTACTCTACTCTACTCTACTCTATTCTATTCTATTCTATTCTATTCTATTCTATTCTATTCTATCTGGTTCTCACATTTCAGTGAGTACACCTGGCTCCCCTTTTGTATTTCTTTCCAACCCATATGAATGTCACTGTATGCAGTAATGCATTCTTCCTCTTTTCTAATAACATCTCCCTTCTCGTTTCATGAAGAAAGAGGCTTGGTTTCTCAAAATGTAAGGTCAGGGTGCTTCCCTTCTAACTCCCTCTGCCCAAAATTAGCTTGATGTGAATCCCCAAGTGCCAAAGGCCTTGGATTGTTGGAAGATAAAAAATGTTTTTTTTTTAACTTTTTAATCTCTTCTATAAGTTATAAGTGACCCTTCATGTCTTATTTGCTATAATGAGCTCATCTAGACTAATTCAATTGGTGGTCTGTGTGCAGCAGGATCTGGCTGTCACAGTGTATTCAGAATTAGAAGCTTATTAACACTGGATTAAGGAATTAAGGTATTGAGACCAACACTGAGGCTTATTATCTAGTCAAATATATTTTCCTGGTAGCTTTCAAATATGGGTCACTTCAGTCATTGTCAAATTAAATGTAAAGCCTGAGCTGCGTAGTTATTTTTAAGACAACGGTAGAAGCATTGGTTTAATGGATCTTGGTTTAGCAGACTTTAAGTACAGGGCTCAATATTATCATCCAGATAGCATTGGGACAGCACCAAGAATTATATCCATTGGACTCAATGGTGGGATTCAGTCAGTTCGGGCTGGTTTGGGTGAACCGGTAATTAAATTGCCTGCTAGCCCTGCCCCTTCCTGTCCCGCCCCTTCCAGGAGTCCCCACATGCCCTATTTCGGCTCCCAGGTAAGTGCAAGGTGGCCTCCTAGGTCTAAAATGGGGTGCGGGGATGCGGCGCCCCCCCCCACGGCCCGTTTTCGCTCCCAGGGGGCACAGGAGGCCAAGTGCTGCCTGTCACACATCCCTGGCCACGCCCACCAAGACCATACCCACCCAGCTGGTCATTAGGGCAGAGAACTAGTTGTTAAATTATTTGAATCCCACCACTGCATTGGAGGGCTCCCTTTGTACAAGACTACAGGAAACAGCAACAAAAATAATGATGAGAAAGTTTTCAAGAGTTTACATTCTGTGGCTTGTGCATAGATTAAATTCTGGATGATCAAACCATTATTTGAGGGCCATGCCCTCAAAACTTTTCTATTCCAGCAAGCCGGGCTGGCGTAGCTCTTTTAATTGTTTTTTAATTCGTTTTTTTAAAAAGGGTTTTTTTTAATTAATATGGGCCAAATTTGTTTAATATATTTTTAAATTGTTTTAAATTTTAAATTTGATGTTTTTATCTTTGGCTGTACACCGCCCTGAGTCCTTCGGAGAAGGGCGGTATATAAATTTAAATAAACATAAACATAAACATTAAGCAATCCGTCCCCTGCTCTGAGCATCAGAATCTACAACTCTCTTTTTTCCTCCCTCCATCCTTCAACTGTTTTCACATTGGGTCCATTGTAAGCCAATCATTAGGATTACGTGCCTGACTCAGGTGTGACATCCCCATGGCTTTAATACCGTAGCATCCTTGGACAGAACAGCTGCCTTTCCTCTTTCTCCCACAATTCCCACTTCCACAAATGGGAACTTCACTCCGGAGAATGAAGTCTGCCATACTTAGGCAATGTAATTGTAAAGTCCTTTTTATACTACAAAAAGAGGACTGACTTATTTTGTAGCTAAGTCAGTTGGTTAGTTCATTCTGTTTGCCTGGCATGTCCAGCATACAAGTGGATAAAAACCCCTTTATTCTTTTAACACCTTCTTGATCATCCAAAGATGCTGTATATTCTGATCTATATTTCCCACTGGGATAGAAAGCTTCTTAATGTTGAACTGTCGAGTAACCTCCTATTTTCTCCTACCACTTTCTTTTAATAAGAACAGTGCTTTCATTTGGAAACCTTAGGCTTTCATGAAAATGTGGAACACAACTTAGAGAAAGTTCTTCCTTTGCTAGGTAGCTTCCTTTAACTTTCATCTTGTTGGAAGAAAAATCTGGTCCGGTTCCAAGCCGGGAGAAAGACGCTGGAAATAAAATGGAGGCTGATTGGAAAGAAGGACTCTGTTTATTGACGAGCAGAACCACAGCATGCAGTTCTGGGACAGCTGACAAAATAGCTTGATGAGTGCAAGGATTTTCATACAGTATTTTGTAATTTAGAGGTTTGCTTTATGTGCTTTTATTATTTGATTGGTTAATTCTATTATGTCCTAAAGGACCTGTCCTGTCCTTCTTAATCCCATCACCTGGAGCCGAAGATGTTTTGTTTATGAATTTATTGGCCTGGATTTCTTACCATTGACGGAAAGACTCTGTTCCTGCAGCTCAGAAGAAGTGGAGACTGTTTGTCATGTGCTCCTTAGATGTTCCTTTTATACAGGGAATAGGAAAATACATATTCTGCCAATAACTGCTAGGTATCCTGGCCATTCCAACACTAACTATCTTCAGTGGCTGCTTAAGGATGAACAGTCCATAACTACAACGCAGGTGGCCAGATTCTGTGCAGCAGCAGTGGGGATTCGTTGCGAACACGTGTCTTCTCCACCATAATGATGTTATATAACACTTGTGGCAAACCCTTTGCACTGCTTAGTACTTTCCCTTTTAGTGTTGAACCTACAATGGGCCACACAGTTTATGGAATGTAACTATAGTATAGTCAGACCATGTATAATTGACAGACTGGATTTTATTATAGATTTTAGTTGTTATTTATTATTTTATACTAGAATTTTTAATTGTATATATACTGAGTGTTTTTATTTGTTCTAGTCTCTGGTCTAAGACTGTAATAATAAATTGATTGATTGGTTCGGATTTCTTAATGGGCACAAAATCTCCATCTCTGAAAGA